ATGTTAAAAGAACAGCGGTTCCAAAGAAAAATGCGGAAGAACGGTCTTTTAGGAGCTGCAGGATATTTTATTCTAGTTAAATTTTCTGTCTTTCCAGGTCAGTCAAGTTACCCCATTTTTCATAAACGTGAACGCAACGGGATAAAGTTCCAGCGAGAAATCGTGTTCTACAGGAAAGACTTCCCTCCGCAGTTTTATAGGTTCCGTCGCTAACGATATCAACGATACGCTCGCGAAATTACTCTAGTTCCACGGAATTCATTGGTTGGAAAATCGAATCTTAAATTTATTATGTCCACGACTCATTACACTAGTGGTTCCAACAGAGCTACTCATTTTAATGCTATAAACGTTGTAATGACGGATTGCATTTAGCGCGTGATATTGTTTATTCCCTGTTCGATGATCGCTGTAAATATTAATTTTTAGCTTCAGACCTTCTATAGTCTTGAATCAATCTGTAACGTAACAAAATTCGAGATTTCCGCGGTATGTAAACAAATTTAAACGAATCTGAATAGTTGCATTGATTAACGTATATTAAAAAATTAAAGATTTCACTAACTAACCATCGTTTAAAAAACTACACATATTTGAATCAGAAAAAATATCTCGCCAGAGGATATGATTTCAGTAAAATTTTACAAATAATTCCCAACTTTTGTGCGGGAGTATATACTTAAATTACTACTATTAGACTAAATTTTAATTGAATTGTATGATATATATTATGTATATAATTCTGAATATATATTTAGATATAATAATTGGAAAACTATTTAATAAATTAATTGAAACATTTGTTTAAACTTGGATTTAGCAGAATTGAATGGTTCGAGACAGGACAGTTAAAGTATTAAGAAGACCGATGAATAATTAAGGAACCCATATATTGGAAAAAAGTATTAAACGGGATTATTGAAATGGTTGTATAATACAGGAACAACGCGACAAACTTGAAAAGTGATAAGAAAGTTTAAGTTTCCGGCCAAACGATCCCTGGTATCGGACCCCGGTCACGCACGATCTACAAAATCTCTATCGTTTCTCGCGATAGCTCCTCGTATTGCTTATTGTAGTTCTTTGCGAAACTTTCAACTTAAATATTTTGAAATGTTGTGTTGGTGTCGTGTTCCTATCGGTAGATTAAAGTCTACAAGGAATCTTTTTAAATACTCTATTAACGTAAAATTACACCCCTTACATGAACACTTACAAAAATTTATTTTCCTTAATTATAACTTTTGCTGCATCAAAATTTAAATTACCTACAATTGGTTCTTTAATATAGAATACATTTGAAGGTACTTTCCTGCCATAGTAAACCAATGAAACAAGAATAATATTTGAATATAATTTACTTGAAATTTTAGTCAACAAGAAAACTGCAGATAAAAATCTAATATTATATTAGGTTTTACATTTATTTTAGGATTTAGACAAGAATTGTCGATGTTTAACTAAAAATTGTAACTAATCCAATGGAAAATTAACAAAGTCAGGATATGCAATATTTACATTCTTTCAGAATCTTGGTTTTATATTATGTTCTTTAATACCTCTTTATAGTGCAAAAGGTTTACACAATTTTATGTGCAAACGTTAAAACTTACAATAAACATAAGGTTTCTAGGCAGATTACTTGCGTTTACAGCGTTGATAGTATGTCAAAACGATAGTATGTCACAACTGCGACACGACCATGAATATTACTGACAATAAAAACGCAACTGCACAGTGTGAATCGATCGTTAGAACTGTGCAGTTAAGTATTGACTTGAGCTTCAAAAAGTGCGGTTACTTTTGATTCTAATGGATTCTGTATATACATCAGCCAACTAACATTTTTCGGTAATTACTCGTATTACTGGTCCTACTCGGTTGTTTATGAATAATTTTCAAAATGCACATACTCGTAATGCACTTCAATACTAAGGGGTCATTCCGGTTTTCACTCCAAAAAATTAAGCGCTTTTCGAGACTTTATTGCGAAAAAAAGAAATACAGTAATGGTACAAAAAATTATTCCATTTATTAAATTACATTTCTATAATAAATAAAATATATATAAGTAATAAAATTAATGTTTTTAAAGTTGTTTGTTTAAAAAGTGGTGCCTCGCTGACGCGGGTGATTCAGCTGTTAGGCTTATCTGAAATACGGAATCCAAACGTAGTATTGATTAATATCACTGTCGCTATCATCCGCACTAGAATTAATGATTTGTCTTAAAAATTAACAAAATGGCAAACAAAAATGCAAACAAATGATTCTCGGCTTTTTTATTTTTGCTATTTTAGTCCGCCATTTTGTTAATTTTGAAGATAATCATTAACTCTAGTTCAGACGATAGTGACAGTATACTAATCAAAAATCCGTTTGGATTTCTAGTTTCAGATAAGTCTAACAGTTGGAATCACCTACGCCAGCAAGGCATAACTTTTTAAACAAACAACTTTAAAAACATTAATTTTATTACTTCTATATTTCTTACATACCTACTGTACCTGTTATATACCTCCTATTATATTTTTTTTCGTCGCAATAAATTCCCGTAAGACGCTTAACTTGTGGACGCGCAAACCGGAATGACCGTTTCATTAAACATCATTTTTTTACCGAGATATCGAGACATGTCGCGACATTTAAACACGATCTACAGTTCGCACGACAAAATCGCATAATTTCCCCGCAATCTATACAATTGCATATATTCCCGATAAACATATATAAATACGTATTACATGTAACACAAAAATCAAAGAAAATTTCCAATGTTCGCAAAACCAGAGAGTGCTAGTCGAATACCTCGACAGGCATCGCCGAAGCCTGTGCACTTCGATGCACTTGCTCGGTTCGACGCGGTGCATGACCACGCATATTGCAAATCTCGTGGGAGTTAAATCGAGACCGACTCTAAAAACAAAAAAAAAGGATATTAAACAACGTTCAACTTGTTCCATACCGACCGGACGCGGTCGCCTATGAAAAAAAAAAAGAATTCGCCTATAAAAAAAAACGGCGGTGAACCGATTGTACACACACAGGGTCGACGATTTCATCCCCGGAAACTTACGGTCGAGCGTCGAATTGACGGAGAACACGCGGGCTTGACAATCGTGTCGAAATATCTAGGAATATCGAAAGCTCGGTCACCGTCCATTGACGTATATTGTTTCTCGATAACGAGGATAATGCGCGTAAATATAATTTGCCAGTTTTCACTCTGTTTCACGCGGTCACCTCGCCTAGCAGAACGATCGAAGAGAACCGATTATCAATTCGCGACCCTGCGCGATTTTACTGAACGTATCGGATCCGTCGATCGTGAAGTACTTACCGCACATTTTCTAGACGGCGCACAGTGTGGCGTTTCAGCGATCTAGCGGTATAAAATTCAATTTCGACGATGATCCAGATTTGTAAAGACACATTATAAATCAATAAGCAGTGACTTAATACCGGTATAATTTTTATACTTATTTATATATATTTATTTCGATTTTCGATAATGTATCAGTTTCGGTATAGCTTTGCTGGTACAATACCGATATCAAAATTATACCGGTTGTAGTATACCGGTATAATTTTTATAATTATTATACCGGTATTATGCCCAGGGACTTACAACCGGTATGATTTTATTCAGACTTCAGTTCTTAAAACAATATATTCCGCTTACAAAATATGATCAGCACTTCAAGTTTCGAGGTTCTGAGTTGCGAAATCGACAGTCTCAAAATCTTACAAAGTTTCAGATTCGAGTTTCGAGAATTTCAAAATTAAATTCCAACTCACCCTTAGTTTTGATAGAAATAGAAAACTTTGAAAAAATATATTCCTCATGACTGCACACGTGGATCATAATATATATATGGTATGATATGGATTATATTGAATAGAGTGGGTATTGTTTTATGTATCACGCCCGGATACACCAATTTCAGGACCAAAATCGAATTTTCCTTTTAGCATCCGCGTGATCCTCTTGCAACGATGCATATTTTCCACCATTTCGACAACACTTTCACCGTTATCCGTATTTTTTTGTCCTCGGTGTAACACGCGCGTGTAACCGGAATAGAATTTCGTTTACGAAATATTGGCGCGACCTCTATTTTTTGTCGGCAGTTAGAGCATTTCGAATCGTTGAAATACGACCACGTTGAATTGTAATCGGGTTTGGTTGTTGGCCCATTTTACGCGCGATGAGATTACCCGCGCACCATTTCGCGGGCAACAAAATCTCTGGGATACGCTTGGCTACGCGCCGTAATTTAAGGAGATCTACGATCGTAAGATATGATGGGTGAACGGGCGCGCTTTTCATTCCCAATCGATTACGCCGAACACTTTCTGTCGTTTCGCGGACAGAAACGATTAGAACCAGAACGTTTCAATTATAATACATGGAAACGCTGGTACAGATGATAAATGTCACGGGGAACTTTCGTACTTTCAAATTTCGTCCCGATGAAGAATTAGCATAAATAAACATAATTATAAATATGCAGATCGTCGGTCCTTCGGGCCATCTCATGGAAGTTTTGCACGCTAATGACTCCGTTCGCCCTATGCATCAATCACTCTAATAGAAGCAATTACGAGAGTGTATTGGTAATAATATTGGATGCCTCGTTTGGATGTGTTCGTACTGGACTTTGGTTATTTTTGTTCACTTAAGCATAGTTTCTTAATAATTCAAGATTTAAGAGAAAAAGATAGTGTTAGAATAATCCAAGGTGATATTCAAAATAATTTTGACAAAATCGATAATTTAAGAATTATACTATTTTTAACCTATTCTCCGTGACTACTAAAACTGAAGGATACTTTCTACAGATCGTGATTTCATGTAAAAGCAAACGGTTTTAAAAACTACGAAAATGTTTGTTTGTTTTATAAATACTTTAAGGGAATGAGTGATAAACAGAACAAAACATTCATTTCCTTTTAAATCACTTCTTACATATTCTTTGTTGTAAAGTATGTTGCAGGAATAATTATTTACAACCTCTTGGTGCAGTATTCATTGAAAAGATACTAAATATGGACGAAGTACGTAAACGAAGTAAGTTTCCTGTATTTTGTACATTTATTTGGGAAATGTGTTTAATACAATGAGTTTCATTAACAGGAGATAAAAGCCCGCAAAATGGAGACATAGTGAATTTATCAGCTAACCAAGAGGATGAAACAATATCAGAAACTCCAACAAAAAACCTGAAGTACTATTTTAACAGATTTAGGTATTACCATTACTGTTTAGCAGAGAAACTGGATACCATAATTGGAGTTGTGTGTCTCACCATAATAAAAATATATTTTTCCTTGATGGGTTACGAACAGTCTGCCTTGGAAGACATTGAAGCACCAGATTAAAAATGGCAACGGGTGATTGACATGGAAAAGACACCTGTTACTTTTCTCATAAATATTTTATCACAATACGTTCATTAAAAGTTTATGTGAAAAAAATACATCTGTTACTTCTTTTTTCGTTCTTGTCGTACGAAAAATATTCCTAAAGCGCTTCAAAACCACTTGTTACAGAACTATTATATTTATTTCTCACTTCTAATTGAGATACACTCTCTTGCATTACAAATTCGGAGGCACCTATTTTGTATTAGTTACTTTCAATCTCGGCTTTTTTATTTATTAAAATAATTAATTAATTTAATAAAAAGTAATTCGTCTTTTGATACAGAAAAACAAATAAGGAACACTACGCAGATATATTTTTATTCGATATACACCTTTATCTGTGTATTATGTGTATCAGTGAATAATCCACTATTTTTCATCGAGTCAATATTCGTTAAAAGACTGAGAATTTGAGTTTATGGTTTATATTGGCCATGTTACAATCTACCCCGGTCTCCACTACGCCGCGCCGTGAAGAAATTGTCCGAACGGACATTGATTTCACCAGGTAGACCGAGGCATACATAAAATTGTCTCTCTTCGTTTGCGTCTAATTTAAGACGCGCCTTCAAGTAGTCTGCTGCAGCTGAGGGACCTAAGATATTCACGAGTTGATCGTAAAAGATGCAGTCCAATCTCCGCGTGGTGTAGTACAAAGTGATGCGATACCCTTTTCAGAAACTTCCTACTACGTAGTTACCAGACGCAAAAGTCGTTTCGCATGACCAGCCGTTGAGGTTATCTCGAATATTTACTGCTTGAATTTGCACCTATTATTCCGCCTCTTTTTCCCATTTTCCTCATTCCCGAAAGGAAATGAACCCGCGGCAGGTATAATTCCTTTCTCTTTCTCATCCACGGAGTAAACTTTTTATTCGAGCGTGCACCTTATTTCCCTCCGTCTCGCAATACAACAGGACTTCTATATAACAATAGTATAATTAAGGCAGTTAGACCTGTTACTTAACCCTTTCGCTGAGGCAGATTTCAACGTAAAGCATAACAGACCGTGATCAATGTTACGAACAGCAAAACTAGTAGTAATTTAGTAGTAACAATAATCGCAACGATATGCTCTGTTGCAAATCATGCAAACAATAAGCACGATGTAACAGTCGATGTTGCAACTACATCATCAACATTTGAATCGCTAACTGCAGAAGGGGGATATCTCCAAGCGTGATTTTGCACGCCATCTCTATTTTTCGGGCTGATACTGAATTTTCCGAGCGAGTGACTCTTATTTCAGTTCATAGAAGATCGAGTCTTATAACATCAAAACATCAGTTTTTCAAAACAAATTGAACGTCTGGGTAACTTCTGTTGTCAGATACTTTCAGTAACTTGTGAAACATACCGATTTCGCTCGTATCATTGGCGAACGGGGAGGCAGGCTAGTTCGGAGCTGCGGGAGATAACAAAAATCACAAGTTGACGAACGCCGGCCGGTTGGAATTGGAACGATGGAGGAACGATAGCCGTTCGATACATCCATCAGGAAATGTTTTTAGAATCGGATTTACGGTGTCGATCTGCGGCGGGTATGAAAATTTAAGCGCAGCCGACGGCACTGCAGGTGCAACCCTACGCTCGATAATTTATCAGGATCATTCCTAGGGCGGCAAGCAAGCGCGCGCGCGCGCGTCGGGCTAGAATAGGTCGGCGCCGAATTTATGATAACGATAACATTGAATAATTCGCGGAAGCGATTGATCGCATACACTAGCGGCGGGTGCGAGCGGCGTGACACGTTTCTGCTGAAGCTGCCAAGCTTGCACGGCGTCAAATTTAACCGGTAATAAATAAACGGTTTAAACTTTCCCTCCTGAAACTTAAGGCCCCTATCTTCTTTAGCAGAAAAAAGGTGATATTTAAGAATTTTTTTTAAAGAATGCAAAGAACATATGATAAAAAATCTTCTTGGCCTTTATTTATTACACATTCAAATAAATAAATAAAAATTTGTTTCAATATTTATGCACCGTGGCAAATTGCAGATGGCGCTAACCGTTTTGATCCAAAATCACACTGTACAAACGGTATCCATGATATCTCAATGTAGAATAGTCCGAAATCGAAATTTCAAAAAGATTATTGAATATTACTACAACGTCTATTGTACGAACTAACGTGAAGTCGAGAAAATAAAATGACCACGTTTGGTATGAGTTTTAACAAACGCGTAAAAACTGGAGGAAATTTTACGTACGTTATTGTGAATAACAAAAGAATTTAAACTTCAAAATTTTCAGTAGCAGGTCGTACGAAAACTGATTCAATTACAAAAAGAATGCCATAAGAATTTTTACAATCGGTTAATAACTTTTTCTGTTATGAGCGGCACCGTTTGTATACAATTTAATTTCAGATCAACACGATTGGCGCCATCTACAATGCAGAAATACAAAAAACAACCATTTTTTTTATTTCCTTGAATGTTTTTACCATATCTTCTTTGCTTTCTTTCAAAATAAATTTCTAATTGTCACCTTCTTTTCGTAGATTTAATTTTACATTAAATTAAGATTCAAATGTAGATACCTTAATTTGTAAATAACTGTTTTTAATTACTATACTGAGATAAGAAGTTAAACAAATTCATCGGAAAAATCATTAGTATCACTATTAATACGTGTAAAGTAATTCTCTGTATATCTACGTATTTCTGCAAACCTAATCCTTCTGTTCAAAATTGTCTATATTTTCTTCGTTTTTTAAGCAGACAATCCCGAATAGTCAAGTAACAGACGATGTTAGTCTGCAGACTGTTCGCGAACGTCAAAATTAAGGTACACAAAAAGTTCCAAAAAGTAGCACCTGATTTTTACAAAAAACCGAAGAACTGAATCTGTACTATGAGACAGAAGTGAACTTTTGACCAAACCGTACCAAACCATCTTATTTTACTTAAAAAACCAAAATACATCTATTATAAAATTGGCTATTACTGACAGCGTCTATTCGAATATTGACTTTCCAACTTGATATTACGTACAGTACATTTTCAAGAATGGAAGTGAAATTATTCGTTAATTATTAGGTTTAGAACTAATGAAGGCCAATACTTTTTTACTCAGAATTTAACACTCTTCGATATTTTAGCATAAAAAATATAGCATTCCATTTAAAATAACAAAGTTGACCTTGTAATTTCCGAAACTCCTCCACGTACAAAAAAATTATATGCACTACTAATGTATCCTTCCAAACCATGCAATTTTGTATAAAATATTGTTTGTCTATCAAGCTACTACAGTCTGTTTTGGAAACAAATACTAGGGCCATATACCCTCCTCCAGCTTCTCTAAAAGAATTTGAAGAGTTTCTGCATGAAGAATGGTGTAATATCCCATATAAAGAATTTTCTTAATGTAGCGAGGTGCTTTCATTATTTTGTCCAACCTCTGTATACGTGACGTGACTATTCGAAATACGTGTTTTCCCTTAACAACGGATAAATTATTTGCATACAAAATACCGTACCGTAACTGTACGAACCAGCTGCCCAATTATTTAATGGGAAGAGACGTATAAAATCGAATGTGCGTATTTTATTCGCCATATCGTGTTTGCTGGGCGCTCTTAGCGTTTCACTAATTTAACATCGCCTATTGGGGCACAGCCATTGGCGTAACTAGGTAGGGGCGAAGGTGGGCCTGCCCCCCCCCCTCAAAATACGGACTGGCCCCTCGTCCAAAAATTATTGAAATATGTAAAAAAAACATTCGTCAATTGATCAAATCTTATGTTATAAAGAATAAATATTTGGGCCGAAATGCAATACGCAACGCAACTAATTGTAAGTACAAAAAATACAATACAATCCTTATTACGTTAAAGTATTGAGTAAAATTGTATTAGAATTAAGCTTTTAATTTTTTCATTCTACTTAACTAATAATCCTGCAATATCAACTGAAGAGTCGGATGCAACTAAGGGAACTAGCGCTCGAGAATGTGAAAAATATTTTTGCAGAAAAAAAGACAGCAAATTCAAGCGTATATATAATACATTTTAATTATAGGTATCTGCGCATAATATACTTTTAATTTTAATCAATCTCAAAATTCTTTTATTTTTAAGAATTATGTTTACATTCTTCTATTCTTAGTTGTACTGTTAAAGAAACATATAAATAATTATTGCAAACTGTGTAACTGTATTTTTGCAACCCACGTACGTGGTATAAAATACGTGCAGATGCCTGATGGGGAGTGATATGAGTAGACTGCGGATATTTATGCAAAATAAACGTTTCTAAAGTAATTTATAAAGACCGGAGCAATTGTAGAAATTTATTTTCCCTCTTAAGCATCTTATTGGGTTAGGAATAAAATAGAAAACTCGCTGGGTCAGATGAAAGTTTTGTTTCTTGTTGTATTTCACAGAGCCCTATAGGCTATAAATGCATAAAATCCGCAGTCTAGTTATGAGCGAAACTCAGGAGACCTCCCCCCTCCAGAAAAAAATTCTAGTTACGCTAATGGGCACAGCATTTTTATTTGATTATAATTGGTTACTATTTTGTAGTCGAAAACGCACGGTATTGTAAACATTTACGCGTTCTCCGCGCACAGAATGAAATTAATGTTCTAGCTGTGTGATAACTCGTGCCGTGCGCGCGATTAAAATGCGTTCCCATGATACCGGTAAATGTAATTGCGCATCTGCGAGTTCAAAATTTTAATAAAATCATCGAACCAATCCAATGAAACGATATTCATGCTCTTCAATGGAAAATTCGCTTGGTATAATGTACTGATATTTTTTCATACGATCCGATGGCAATTATTAATCTTTACGGAATACATTTGAAATGGAGCTTGAGATAATACTAGCGAATTGTGGCCAGCAGTTTCAGTGCTTATTTCAAAACAACGTGAAAGTATAGGGCAATTCTGGTAGAGATGGACCACGTTTCTAAAAACGTTTCAAATTTAAATATTTTAGAAGTACTGAG